ATCTGGGCATAGTTCACACAAATTATCATCAACATTAATCATTTTCTTAGGAGTGCTTCTGGTCACACGAGGGGGAATTAGTGGGAGGGGTTTTTTCTTTTTGTATCTTTTCCTTCTGACCATAATAAAATCAGCATCTTGTATTACCTTCAATTTTTCTTTTTGTTTGACCACATAAGCTACTCCTTTGATTATACCAGGCAGGGCATCCTTCCAGGTTTGTATATCTTCAATCTTGTTGGGTTTGCCTCCATCAGAGGAATAATCTTTGCTGACTATTTCAGGATCAAAATCCAGGTCATTGATCAAATTCTGGAGTTGGGCATCATCAAGCAGAGGCCCCACATGCTTATGGTAAGTTAGAGGATGATCCTTAGTAGCCTCTGATGGTTCAATTCCTTCTGAAGCATTGAAAACCTGTGAATGTTCTTTTCTCATTGTATCAGGATGTGCATCATGGTAAATCTCCTCAGTATATGTGAGATCCTGAACTTCAACTACGGGAGCAATGTTCTGTTTATCAGATTTGCTTGCAGATGGAGCCTCTATCCTCTTGATGATTTATAGTGTTGCTTGATTCACCATTTGTGATCTGTAGAATCTGTGGATTTTTAGGAATCCACTTTTCTTTAAGTTTGTCAGATTGTGTAATCTCCTTTGTAATATCTGTAGCAGTAATCTGTTGATGTGGGGTGGTGCTAGGTTGAGTATGTTCAGGAAATAAAACTTCCTTATGACCCAGGTGAATACAAGAATTGCAGTACTGAGGCATGTCCTCATAGGTGATCTGTTGAGAAAAACCTTGAGTCCCACATTGAATCCATATCTTCTGAGGTAGTTCCTGGGTAAAATCTAGTTCAAAACACACGAGCAATAGAAGGTCTAGAAAGATTAGCAGTTGCAGCATCTATTTTAATGGGTTTTCCAATTAGACCAACTATATCAAAAAGGGCTCTCTGATCTTGTAAATTGATGGGCAGCCCCTCCATACCAATCCAAACTGGACCCACTGGAAATTCCACATTAGGATGGAAAGACGGAGTCCATCTAGTCACACCAATCATATAGCCTCTAATAGTTCATGTTTGTCGATTCCAGCATCATAATCAAAAACGGATTAGGATATGCTTAGAATTAAGCAATCCCAATTGAAACGAACCGGAAAAACCGATAAATTCGAATGCCTTGCGGATCACCGCCAGATTAGGCCTTCCTTTGAAAAAATAACCAACCAATGACCTTTTATGTCGTGCTGCTAAGCTCTGAATTTCTTCTTCTGGAAATTGGATGGCCGGCATACCCTTGTAACGGGCTGGAGTATTTTGTGATAGCGGAGGGTCTGCACGATTGGTTAAAACATCAACAAAAGAATTCTTCTTCCAAACGTTATTGTCAGGTGACAGTGGTGGTGGTGCCGCCCCTAAAGGGGTGGCGGAACTCATCGATCAAAGCAACCCTAGTCGATCGGTCGTTCTCCTCTCTCAGCCCCACACTCTCTAGAGTATCATTATATATTTTAATAAGATCAAAATGGTATTTTGGAATATTATGAGACTTTTAACTTTTAAGTGTATAGTAACAGAGCCGTTTTTTAGCACGTTCAACATGTTCTACATAGTAATAATATAAATTAATACTAATCAGTAAAATAAAGTTTTTGTCTGTCCTTTTACTTCTGCTTTACTCAAGTTGATTGAGTGATGAGTTTGTTGCTTTAAATCAAGTATTAAGTGAATTTTAGAATTTTTTTATTACATTGTTTGATGAGTATTCAATTGATTTCAGTATAAGTATATAGATCGAGATGTTTTTGATATTGTATATTAATATGAGGCCTCGATTTTACGTTTGGAATGAAGCCTTCAAATTCATTAAACGGCTCTGTATAGTAAGTAATATTATTAGTTGATTAATATGAAATAACTAGCTTTTATTTTAATTTGTACACAATTATATGTTTGTTATTGTAAAATGGTTGACTGATTTTATAGTGTTGACCAAATTGACTCGATCGGGTCCGGGTTGACCCGATCACGTGGCTGGGTCTCGATTCAAGAAAACAACAAAACTGTGATGCAACACACTCTTCCAATTTACCGGAGACATAGCTCCACTCTTTATTTGTCAGATTATGATTATAGTCCAATTTCTCCTTCTCGATACAACATACAGAGAGTTGATGACACTCTTTTAAGAGCATCGCAATTTATACCGTGATACCGGTATACCATGCACATGGTATACCAGTATCACATACGACACCATTTTTCCTTTCTCTGGAGCACTACGTACGTTAGTTTCCTTTCTTTCCCCTCAAGGCTCAATCACTCCAGATTTCTTTGGAGCACTATCTCTTTATTTTTCTTTTTTGTTTTCTTTCAATTATTTTCTTCTCTCTATCCAAATATTAAAAACTAATTTTGATTTTTCTAATATTTGTATTTAACTAATTAAATTACAATTAAATTAACTTTTTTCTTTACCAATTTATTACAAAATTTTCCTAATCCACATAAAATAAGTACTACAAATTTATTTTTGGTGTAATATTTCTTACATTTACACACTTTTGTTTTATTTTTTTCACATTCATACACTTGTTTCATACACTTTTTGGTGTATTATTTTTGTTTAAAACATTATTATGGCCTTACCGCCTTAATACTAAAAACAAAACATAATAACTAATTACTTCAATTAATTGAGCAATTAGACTCATTATTTTCATTGTTTACATTTAATAGTATATGGAGTTGCATCTTCTTATGAGCGAATTACATCTTCTTGTGCATGATATGAGTTACATCTTCCTATCGCGAGTTACATTTGGACTTGCCTCAACAAGTAACATTTTGCATACACCTAAGTTAGATCTTCCATCAACGCGAGTTACACTTTTTGTATTACATCACAAAATAAACCCCAACTATTGAAACAAAAAAATCATTTTTTTGCAAACAAAGATGATTTTTTTGCAAAAAAAAACTGATTTTTTTGGCAAAAAAGTTATTTTTCTTTTGAACATTTTTTATGGCCTTAATACCAAAAACAAAACATATTAACTATTTACGTAAATTAATTTGAGCAATTAGTCTCTTTGTTTTCATTCTTTACATTTGATAGTTTATGGATTTAAATCTTCTTATGCGCGACTTACATCTTTTTATGCGTGAGTTATATCTTCTTATATGCGAGTTACATTTACACTTGCCAAAACAAGTTACATTTTGCATACACTTAAGTTAGATTTTCCATCAACGCGAGTTACATTTTTTATAACATGAGTTACATCACATCATAAAGCCCTGTTATTCAAACAAAAAAAAACCAGTTCTATGTAAAAAAATATTATTTTTTTGCAAAAAAATGATTTCGTGGGCAAAAAAAAGTGATTTAAAAAAAATATTTTTATGGCCTTGATATAAAAAACAAAACATATTCACTATTTAAGTAATCTCTTGCTATTGAAACGAAAAAAATCATTTTTTTCAAAAAAATGTTTTTTTTGGCGAAAAAATGATTTTTTGGCAAAATAAAAGATTTTTTTAAATAAACTTTTTTATGGTCTTAATATTAAAAACAAAACATATTCACTATTTATGTAAAGTAATTGAGCAATTAGATTTCTTATTTTCATTGAAGTCAATGTTTTATTTCTTATAATTCGTATTAGACAAGTTACATTTAGCTTGCTTGCAGTTACAATTTTTATCAGCGTGAGTTACATTTCTTTACACGCGAGTTACATCATTTATACTACCAGGACAAAAAAAAAACAGATATTGTTCATGTGATTTTTTTAAAAAAAATAGTGTAAAACCACGTCATTTTGGGGTGGAGCATGATGCTCACCATGGAATGATCTCACTGCAACAGTATGCACTTCGACAAAATAAAGTGGCATAAAAAAAGGAATTACTCCACATGGTGGTTGTGGGGTTCGAACCTACGCGAGATACATTTTGCATACACCTAAGTTACATTTTTCATCAACGCGAGTTACATTTTTTATAACATGAGTTACATCACATCATAAAGCCCTGCTATTCAAATAAAAAAATCAGTTCTATGTAAAAAAATATTTTTTTTTGCAAAAAAATGATTTCTTGGGCAAAAAAAAGTGATTTAAAAAAAATATTTTTATGGCCTTGATATAAAAAACAAAACATATTCACTATTTAAGTAATCTCTTGCTATTGAAACGAAAAAAAATATTTTGTTTTTAAAAAAAATGTTTTTTTTGGCGAAAAAATGTTTTTTTGGCAAAATAAATGATTTTTTTTAAAAAAAACTTTTTTTATGGTCTTAGTAATAAAAACAAAACATATTCACTATTTATGTAAAGTAATTGAGCAATTAGATTTCTTATTTTCATTGAAGTCAATGTTTTATTTCTTATAATTCGTACTACCTCCGTTCTTAAATAAATGCAACACTTTGACTTTTACACTATTCACATGTTCTACTTTGACTACGTTTTATTTATTAATGTAATAATATTATTTTATGGAAAAAAAATTCATAATCTATTTTTTTTAATTTTTTTACTAATACAAAATTATTTATATTAATGGTCAAAGTTATGTCTCGGCAAGTGTGAAATGTTGATCGTTGCATTTATTTAAAAACGGAGGAAGTATTAGACAAGTTACATTTAGCTTGCCTGCAGTTACAATTTTTATCAGTGTGAGTTACATTTCTTTACACGCGAGTTACATCATTCATACTACCAGGACAAAAAGAAAAAAAAAACAGATATTGTTCATGCGATTTTTTTTAAAAAAAATCATCATTGGGGTGGTTTTACACATGCTCACCATTGGATGAGCAAGAGTATGCACTTCGACAAAATAAAGTGGCATAAGAAAAGGAATGGTGGCTGTGGGGTTCGAACCCACGCGCACTTATGTGCAGAAGATCTTAAGTCTTCCCCCTTAACCTCTCGGGCAAACCACCACTATTGAGTACAAATGTCTGCGTAACATAGAACAACGTAAATAGCAACCACAATTAGGGTTATCCATTTATCCAGAAGCTTCGCACAATGGCATTGTACAGATAGAGTATCCAGAAACTTCCCAAACCGTCACAAACTGAACTGATCAGACTAGACAGAGAAGACGGAGCGAGAGCAGGCAAAATCAGAAGTTAGACAGAGGTAGAAGGCGAGCTCTCATCTTTCGGTCACAATGGCGGAGCATCTGGCTTCAATATTCGGAACGGAGAAGGATAGGGTAAACTGCCCGTTCTACTTCAAGATCGGGGCTTGCCGTCACGGCGACCGCTGTTCCAGGCTTCACACCAAGCCGAGCATCAGCCCCACCCTCCTCCTCTCCAACATGTACCAGCGCCCCGACATGATCACCCCCGGCGTGGACGCGCAAGGTCATCCCATCGATCCGCGTAAGATGCAGGACCACTTCGAGGTATCACGCAGCTCCGTTTTCAGAATAAATTGTTTCGTATTCTGTCATCTTAATTGTTATCGAATCTATGCACGAAGATTTTCGGAAGCAGGATTGTCAAGTAACTACTTGTGATGCACGGATTGTCTCAAGGACTATAGATTTTATTTCCTGAGCATGATTTACCATGATCTAAATATTAAATATATCTGCAGGAATTTTACGAAGATCTATTTGAAGAATTGAACAAGTATGGTGAGATAGAGAGTTTGAATGTCTGTGATAATCTGGCTGATCACATGGTACTCATCCTCCTAATAGACAATCTTTGTGATTTTCTCAATCTATTTGAATGTGTATTGTGCAATCAATTAATTATGTTAAATGTATTTGTATATGCCATGTGTTGTGGCAGGTGGGCAATGTGTATGTTCAGTTTAGGGAAGAGGAGCAGGCTGCAAATGCCTTGAAAAATCTCTCCGGGAGGTTCTATGCTGGTAAGTGTAAATAATTATCCATGCATCTAAAAGTTGAGGCTATATGCATAAGCTAAAGCATATGGAGGTAATGGAGCTTGTTCGGAAATTAGTCCATAGCACTTCCCTCTTTTATCAATCATGCTATAATAATAATGCAGGAAGGCCTATCATTGTGGATTTCTCACCCGTCACTGATTTTCGTGAAGCAACATGCCGACAGTACGAGGAGAACTCTTGCAACCGTGGTGGTTACTGCAACTTTATGCATCTTAAGATGATCGGCAGGTAGTGAGAATGCCTTGCATATTTGCTGCTAATACTACCTCCTTCACACAACATGTTTTGCCCACCCTCAATTTCTTAATTTTGGTGAAATATGAAATATGAATCTCGTAAATTATGGAGCATACTTTTTTTTATTTATGTGTTGGTTTAACTGAAATTTATCATGTGGTGTGTTGGTTTCTGATGTTAACTGTTTGGTAAATTTCATAGAAAGGAGTTAGTTTAGTTTAGTTTCATTTGATCAAACTAAATTCTTTTTCGGGGAAAAAGTTCTATGGATCCTTTTTTTCCTTTTGCAACAGAGTAGTTCAGTTGACCAAATCCAAGGACCGGCAAGGAGTACTAATTTTTCCGCTTACATGTTTCATATTATTCAAGATTAATGATGAATGATGACACTGACAGGGAACTGAGACGGCAGTTATTTGGGAGGTCCCATAGAAGGCACAGCAGAAGCAGAAGTCCTTATAGGCATAGAAGCTATGAAGAGAGATCTCACAGGAGCCACAGTAGTAGAAGGAGGTATGATGATGATGATTATGACAATGATAGAGATGATTACTATCATGAGAGTAGGAGTCGGAGACGCAGAACGACAAGTCCAGGTGGTCATCATCGTAAGGGGCGAAGCAGGAGCCCAGGTGAAAGCAGGCGAGGTAGAAGTCCTTCTAGGGATGGAAGTGAAGAGAGGCGTGCTAGGATTGAGCAGTGGAATAGGGAAAAGGAACAGGCTAAAATTTCTAATGGAGGAGAAGTTCATGATGATCACAAAAGAGAAAACAATGAGCATGGTTATGCACAGAATGGAGATGACCAGTACCTTGGTGGCCAGCATCGTTCATCACAGAGTGGATATGCTTACTGATGTCCATTGACTGAACTGGTTTGTATCATTTCCCTAAGAATTGATTCTGTTCTTCCCAATGTTTGAAATTGTGTACTAAAGGCATAGCTATGACTCAATGAGGTGGGTCTCATTGCATTTTGGGAGAGAAATATACCAATGCGGTACACATTTATTTTAAAATTTCACTTTTCTTATATTTGTGCTTTCACTTGATGAGTTTTTGACGAATAATTACCTTTTTATATCCCTCTTTCCATTTAAACTCCTTTTGATATACGTGTTTAGTTTTAATGAGCTCTTTATATAGTCTGCCTATATACACACTTCTAATTCTTTTTAGTAAATAGTTTAATTTTTAAGTAATTTTTAGCATTGCTTTCTATGATTCTATCTACTTCATATAAATTTTTATTGAATTTTGAGGCTTTATCCTTGCAATACGCAAATTTAAAATATTGATCTTGCTGCATTGGCACACCTGTTCTATTATCAGGTTAGCCTTTCTTGTCCTATTTCATAGTAGTTAGCTTGTTACCCATTTTCCTCTGCATGTTTTCAGTACCGCGTTAAAGGGAATGCAAACAAATTATCAACAGCTGACCATTTCGTAGTGTGCTCTGAATGGTTATATTTTTCTGTTGAATTTTTTTAGTCGTAAAAACAATTTTGAATTTTCTGAAGTTTTTCCTTTCATGCACTGAGAGAGTCTGTCACACTTTTATTTTTTGTAAAGTTAGCAAGGCAAAGAGTGCTGCAAGTCTACATGCTACATTTAAGTATTGACTAACCCTTCATCTTCCTTGAGACTGAGCTGCTTCATAGAAGACTAATTCAAGCTCAGGGTTGCTTATAAGTCAAAAGTACGCCTATCAGTTGTTAGAAGAACTCTATGTGCTTGTTAGACTGTAGACCTCTCTCTATGTTCTTACACTGGCTAACCTATTATTCTATTAATGAAACTACAACATGTTTTGTCCCTTTTAAGCTTTTGAACATTCTGGTTTCTTTCTTGCGACCTCAAATGCAACACCATCCAGGCTAGTAGACTTTTGTACTTGTCTTATATTTGAATATATCAACAACATTTGGAACTTGTCTTACAATTGTTACGAGTTTTGCAGGAAACAGGTCCAGGTTTCCATGCAGACAAAGGATCATCAAAATCATATAATAACTTCTTTACCATGAAACATGTGACAGGTCATCAACGACAGGTGTACTTGCTGATTCGTCTACAGGAACTTGCATTAGTTAAAGTCTTAAAGATAACAAAGTTGGAAGAGCTTCAGTGCTGGAGTGGGGGAGGGCTTTGTGGAATTTTTAGTCTGCCTGACATCCATATGAGGTGAAGTTTGTTGGTTCGAAGCATTTGATGGGAAATATAACAAAAAAATTGTTCCAAGGATGTGTATTGTTTAGTGTATGCTATTTCTGATATTTCTATAATTGATGACAATGTTTTGCCTTTGTAACTTAGCAATCTTATTCAGAAACACTTGGGAAGTTTTTGATAAAAATGAGGAGTTTCATGTTCTGATATTTCACGCTTCTTAGCTTCACAAACGATTTTATCGTCTGCCAAAGAGAAAATTGATCCATACCCTAATAATTTGTGACCTCTCTCGAACCAGAATTCCAGATCTTTGCATAAAATTTTGTGCTTTTGTTGATAAATTCCAGAACTTAGAAATGCTCGAAAATTCCTCAACCAAATCGTTGTTGTTTTTGTGATGTCGGTAATGCTGAAAACGGACATATATGATACGCATTGATACCCTTTCTCAAACTAATTATGCTCAAAGCCTCAAACTAATGATGCTCATCTATTGTGCATGTTCGGTCAATGTTGGCTTCCTCCCCATTTACTTTATGTGTATAAGTAATGGGAGGTGAACATTTTACACCGTTTGTCTTAATTATTTAATGTAATTTGTATAAAACTTGTTTTTAAAACATTTTAAAATAATTACCTGGGGGAGGGTAGTAAATTAGTTTACACCATGAATAAATATATCAATTTCAACCAAGACTTTGAAGTCTCAATCAAGTGCAGTGGCAAACCAAAAATCCCGGCAGAATGTAAAGTAGCTCTTCCTCCAAAACAAAATTGGTCGATCAGTCCTCCTATCTCTTTCATATGAAATAATACCCCAGAGAAATTTTTATAAGTGTATTACTCAACGATCAATTCAAAGGAAGAAGAAGAACAAATTACAAAGGAAATATCAATACTTGTGGCAAAAGAAAATAACAAGCTGGAGAGCATTCGAGAGGGCCTCTCTCCCCAACAAACCTGCCAATTCCCAGACACCCTCTCTCCCGTACCTGACTCCCTTTTATTCTCTTTTCCAGCTGACATCGCTTCATTAACTAGTCAATTACCCTCTTACTCCTATAAAAAATGCATGGTGTACACGTCGGTTTACACAGCCGTGTACACAAAATAAAAAGCCCCACCCCCCTTTTCTAACCCACCCTAGTTTTGAATTAATCCTCCCCACTCCCCTTCTTCTCCCCTTTGCACACACAATATGCCTGTTCCGTTTTTTATTTGTCTGTACCCTTCCTCTCTCTAACCTGCAACACTTCTTCATTTTCATTCAAGTGGTGATCGAGGTTGTGGTAGATGATGAGCACCATGGAAGCCAGTAATACGTACGTCTGCGACAACGAAATTCGTAGGACATGGGAGAAAATTTTCGGGCACAGTCCTGGTGAAACCTCCACGCCAGCTGCGACAGAAGGCGGTGAACATACGACGGAGGGAGACATGCAAGGCCATGAACACACGAAGGCGTCTGCGACGGAAGGAGTTGAACACACTCCCGCTGCCACGCTAGGCGATGAACGCACGACGGATGGGAAAGCAGTTGACGCTGAGCTAGGTTGGTGTTTATGTAGCGTCGTTTCTTCATGGTTGTTATGTTATCTTAGTTTATAATACGTACAGACAACGTTTATAATACGTACAGACAACGTTTACAATACGTATAGACAACGTTTATAATACATACAGACAACGTTTCTTCATGGTTGTTATGTTATCTTAGTTTATAATACGTACAGACAACGTTTATAATACGTACAGACAACGTTTATAATACGTACAGACAACGTTTATAATACGTACACACAACGTTTATAATACATACAAACAACGTTTCTTCATGGTTGTTATGTTATCTTAGTTTATAATATGTACAAATAACGTTTATAATACGTTGTCTGAACGTTTATAATACGTACAGACAATTACAAATATGTTTCCATAATTCAGAAGTTCATAGAGTGGGGTTTCAATGTGATTTTAATATTGTCTTTTTTGAAAGTGGTATGATCATTGTATGATGTTTATAAACTACTTTGGCCATAATGTTTCCCTTTCCATAATACTGTCTGTATGTGCATAATATTGTCTGTATATACATATTCTTAAATAACAGATGCAGATGAACATAATAACAGAGAGGAAGATATTAATGTGGTTGTTCCGGAAGTAAGCATGATATTTGATACAACAGACGCGGTGTTTGAGTTTTACAAAACATATGGAAGAAGTTTAGGATTTCCGGTAAGAAAAGAACATCAACAAAGGATAGAAAGAAGGGCGAGGTAGTGTCAATTGTGATAGAGTGTTCACGGGCGGGAAGAAGAGGTAGCAAGGCATTCAACTGTTTGAAGCCTCAACTTTCAATGCAAACATGTTGTTCGGCTAGAATTAGAGCACACACTACTTATGTTGGGTCATGGGAAATTTCAAAAGTGTATTTAAATCATAATCACCCCATGAGTCCCACAAAATCTAGACTATTTCGTTGCAATAGGAAGTTGACACCACATGCCATGAGAAATCTTGAGATTAATGAAGTTGCGGGAATACCCGTTCACAAGAGTTTTAACTCCGTTGTTGTTCAAGCGGGGGGTATGATGCTCTACCTTTTATTGAAAAGGATTATAGGAATTACATTGACAAAATTCGGTAGCTTAGGCTAGGAAGTGGTGATGCAATGGCTATACAAGCATTTCTTTCTAACATGCAAGCACAATGTCCCGGTTTCTTATTTAGTGTTGATTTAGATGATGAGTCACGCTTGAGAACTGTATTTTGGGCGGATAATAGAAGTAGGTATGCATACAAAAGTTTTGGAGATGTCATTACCTTTGACACAACCTACCTAACTAACAAAAATGCGTGGTGTACACGCTGGTTTACACGGCCGTGTACACCAAATAAAAAGCCCCACCCCCCTTTTCAACCCACCGTAGTTTTGAATTAATCCTCCCCACTCCCCTTCCACATGCCATTTCGAAAAAACCCGTCAGCCATTTTTCTAACTCCCCTCCCCACTCCTCTTTCCCAACTCCCCACAAACCAGAGAAACCCAACAATCGAAGCCGCAGAGCCCTCCTCTCCGTTTTTCCGTCTCCCCTCCCCACTCCTCTTTCCTCCTGTTGGGCGTCGTCGTCGTTCTCCGTTCTCCGTTCGGTGTCGTCGTCGTTCTCCGTTCTCCGTTCTCTGGTCGCAAGTCACAACTTCCCCCCGTCCGGCTGTCGTCTCCAAAACTCCACTACAATGGTGCGCACTTCGCTGACTCAACTGGCAGCAAGGTAAAGATCTCCAAAACTCCACCTTAGGTTATTGATGTACATGAGATGTCTGTGCCTCATTAGTTTTTTCCATGATTAATTGGGTTGTATTGGTTGCTTGTTTTGTGCTTTTAAAGATGTCTGTATAGCGTGTTCTTATTCGTGAGTTAAGGTGTGTGTGTGGCTGTTGTTGAGATGCCTGTATGGTTTGTTTGTATATTTTTGCAAAGTCAAAACCTGTCTGTATGACTTTTGTTGAGATGTCTGTATAGTGTGCAAGTGCATGTCTATCTCATAAAAATGGTCTCACCTTAGATTATTGATGTACATGAGATGTCTGTGCCTCATTAGTTTTTCCATGATTAATTGGGTTGTATTGGTTGCTTGTTTTGTGCTTTTAAAGATGTCTGTATAGTGTGTTCTTAATCGTGGGTTAAGGTGTCTGTGTGGTTGTTCTTGAGATGTTTGTATGGTTTGTTTGTATATTTTTGCAAAGTCCAAACCTGTCTGTATGACTTTTGTTGAGATGTCTGTACAGTGTGCAGGTGTATGTCTATCTGAAAAAATTGTTCCACCTTAGGTTATTGATGTACATGAGATGTCTGTGCCTCATTAGTTTTTTCCATGATTAATTGGGTTGTATTGGTTTCTTGTTTTGTGCTTTTAAAGATGTGTGTATAGTGTGTTCTTATTCGTGGATTAAGGTGTCTGTGTGGCTGTTGTTGAGATGTCTCTATGGTTTGTATATTTTTGCTAAGTCGAAACCTGTCTGTATGACTTTTGTTGAGATGTCTGTACAGTGTGCAGGTGCATGTCTATCTCATAAAAATGGTCTCACCTTAGATTATTGATGTACATGAGATGTCTGTGCCTCATTAGTTTTTCCATGATTAATTGGGTTGTATTGGTTGCTTGTTATGTGCTTTTAAAGATGTCTGTATAGTGTGTTCTTATTCGTGGGTTAAGGTGTCTGTGCGGCTGTTTTTGAGATGTCTGTATGGTTTGTTTGTATATTTTTGTGAACTTCAGACCTGTCTGTATGAATATTTGTGTGTGACCACTGTCTGTATGAATATTTTCAGGATGGAACTTCAAATTCCTCTAAGAGATTACTTCCCAACCCAATACTCAGTACAGTCAGCCTTCAATGAGGAATTTGGGCTGGGAAGGCTGACCGTACTGAGTATTGGGCTGGGAAGTAATCTCTTAGAGGAATTTGAAGTTCCATCCTGAAAATATTCATACAGAGAGTGGTCACACACAAATATTCATACAGATAGGTCTGAAGTTCACAAAAATATACAAACAAACCATACATACATTTCAAAAACAGCCGCACAGACACCTTAACCCACGAATAAGAACACACTATACAGACATCTTTAAAAGCACAAAACAAGCAACCAATACAACCCAATTAATCATGGAAAAACTAATGAGGCACATACATCTCATGTACATCAATAATCTAAGGTGAGACCATTTTTATGAGATAGACATGCACCTGCACACTGTACAGACATCTAAAAAAAAGTCATACAGACAGGTTTCGACTTTGCAAAAATATACAAACAAACCATACAGACATCTCAACAACAGCCACACAGACACCTTAACCCAGGAATAAGAACACACTATACATAAATCTTTAAAAGCACAAAACAAGCAACCAATACAACCCAATTAATCATGGAAAAAACTAATGAGGCACAGACATCTCATGTACATCAATAACCTAAGGTGGAACCATTTTTTCAGATAGATATACACCTGCACACTGTACAAACATCTCAAGAAAAGTCATACAGATAGGTTTGGACTTTGCAAAAATATACAAACAAACCATACCGACATCTCAACAACAACCACACAGACACCTTAACCCACGAATAAGAACACACTATACAGACATCTTTAAAAGCACAAAACAAGCAACCAATACAACCCAATTAATCATGGAAAAACTAATGAGGCAAAGACATCTCATGTACATCAATAATCTAAGGTGAGACCATTTTTATGAGATAGACATGCACCTGCACACTGTACAGACATCTCAACAAAAGTCATACAGACATGTTTCGACTTTGCGAAAATATACCAAAAAACCATACAGACATCTCAACAACAGCCACACAAACACCTTAACCCACGAATAAGAACACGCTATACAGACATCTTTAAAAGCACAAATAAAGCAACCAATACAACCCAATTAATCATGGAAAAAACTAATAAGGCACAAACACCTCATGTACATCAATAACCTAAGGTGGAGTTTTGGAGATCTTTACCTTGCTGCCAGTTGAGTCAGCGAAGTGCGCACCATTGTATTGGAGTTTTGAAGACGACGGCCGGACGGGGGGAAGTTGTGACTTGCGACCGGAGAACGGAGAACGGAGAACGACGACAACATCGAACGGAGAACGGAGAACGACGACGACGCCCAACGGGAGGAAAGAGGAGTGAGGAGGGGAGTCGGAAAAACGGAGAGGAGGGCTTTGCGGCTTCGATTGTTGGGTTTATCTGGTTTGTGGGGAGTCGGGAAAGAGGAGTGGGGAAAGAGGATTGGGGAGTGGAGTTAGAAAAACGGCTGGTGGTTTTTTTTCGAAATGGCACGTGGAAGGGGAGTGGGGAGGATTAATTCAAAACTAGGGTGGGTTGAAAAGGGGAGTGAGGCTTTTTATTTGGTGTACACGGTCGTGTAAACCGGCGTGTACACCACGCATTTCTGTTAGTTAGGTAGATTGTGTCAAAGATAATGACATCTCCAAAACTTTTGTATGCATACCTACTTCTATTATCTGCCCAAAATACATTTCTCAAGCGTGACTCATCATCTAAATCAACACTAAAGAAGAAACCGGGACATTGTGCTTGCATGTTAGAAAAAAATGCTTGTATAGCCATTGCATCACCACTTCCTAGCCTAAGCTCCCGAATTTTGTCAATGTAATTCCTACAATCCTTTTCAATAAAAGGTAGGGCATCATACCCCCCGCTTGAACAACAACGGAGTTAAAACTCTTGTGAACGGGTATTCCCACAACTTCATTAATCTCAAGATTTCTCATGGCGTGTGGTGTCAACTTCCTATTGCAACGAAATAGTCTAGATTTTGTGGGACTCATGGGGTGATTATGATTTAAATACACTTTTGAAATTTCCCATGACCCAACATAAGTAGTGCGTGCTCTAATTCTAGCTGAACAACATGTTTGCATTGAAGGTTGAGGCTTCAAACAGTTTAATGCCTTGCTACCTCTTCTTCCCGCCCGTGAACACTCTATCACAATTGACACTTACTCGCCCTTCTTTCTATCCTTTGTTGATGTTCTTTTTCTTACCGGAAATCCTAAACTTCTTCCATATGTTTTGTAAAACTCAAACACCGCATCTGTGGTATCAAATATCATGCCTACTTCCGGAACAACCACATTAATATCTTCCTCTCTGTTATTATGTTCATCTGCATCTGTTATTTAAGAATATGTATATACAGACAATATTATGCACATACAGACATTATTATGGAAAGGGAAACATTATGGCCAAAGTAGTTTATAAACATCATACAATGATCATACCACTTTCAAAAAAGACAATATTAAAATCACATTGAAAACCCACTCTATGAACTTTTGAATTATGGCAACATATTTGTAATTGTCTGTACGTATTATAAACGTTCAGACAACGTATTATAAACGTTGTCTGTGCATATTATAAACTAAGATAACATAACAACCATGAAGAAACGTTGTCTGTATGTATTATAAACGTTGTCTGTACGTATTATAAACGTTGTATGTACGTATTATAAACGTTGTCTGTACGTATTATAAACTAAGATAACATAATAACCATGAAGAAATGTTGTCTGTATGTATTATAAACGTTGTCTGTACGTATTATAAACGTTGTCTGTACGTATTATAAACGTTGTCTGTACGTATTATAAACTAAGATAACATAACAACCATGAAGAAACGTTGTATGTATGTATTATAAACGTTGTATGTACGTATTATAAACGTTGTCTGTACGTATTATAAACTAAGATAACATAACAACCATGAAGAAACGACGCTACATAAACACCAACCTAGCTCAGCGTCAACTGCTTTCCCATCCGTCGTGCGTTCATCGCCTAGCGTGGCAGCGGGAGTGTGTTCAACTCCTTCCGTCGCAGACGCCTTCATGTGTTCATGGCCTTTCATGTCTCCCTCCGTCGTATGTTCACCGCCTTCCGTCGCAGCTGGCGTGGACATTTCACCAGGACTGTGCCAGAAAATTTTCTCCCATGTCCAACGAATTTCGTCATCACAGTCATACGTATTACTGGCTTCCATCGTGCTCGTCACCTACCACAACCTCGATCACCACTTGAATGAAAATGAAGAAGTGCTGCAGGTTAGAGAGAGGAAGGGTACAGACAAATAAAAAACGGAACAGGCATATTGTGTGTGCAAAGGGGAGAAGAAGGGGAGTGGGGAGGATTAATGTGTGTGCAAAGGGGAGAAGAAGGGGAGTGGGGAGGATTAATTCAAAACTAGGGTGGGTTAGAAAAGGGGGGTGGGGCTTTTTATTTGGTGTACACGGCTGTGTAAACCGGCGTGTACACCACACATTTTTGCCTAACAATCGTTTTGATATGCCCTTTGCACCATTTGTGGGAGTGAATCATCATGGCCAATCTATATTATTTGGATGTGGCCTAATCTCAAATGAAGATACACAAACTTTTGTTTGGCTCTTTAAGGCTTGGCTTGATTGTATGGAGGGTTGTGCTCCAAGCGGTATTATAACTGATCAAGACCGTGCCATGCAAAATGAAATTCAACTTGTATTCCCGAATACTAGGCACCGTTGGTGTTTGTGGCATATCATGAAGAAGTTACCCGATAAAATGGGTGGGCATGCGGATAAAGATCACATCATGTTCAAGATTCATGAACTAGTTTATGATTCACAGCACACCACAGAGTTTGAGGCTGGTTGGGAAGTTATGTTCCAAAGGTAAGGTTTTCTCAATATGAATATTTTTACTTTAGTGAACTGCAGACAATGTTTATCCTTGTACAGACATTAAACAAATATAGACAGACATTTTTTTATATTGTCTGTAAAGGAAGTATATCGTCTGTGATTTATACAAAATTGAACCCTGCACAGACATTTCTATTCTGTCAGTCTAACTATTGTCCGTGTTGTTAGGTTTTCACTAGAGCATGATGAATGGCTGTTGGTTATGTACAACGAACGTCGTCATTGGGTGCCCTGTTACTTGAAACTATATTTTTGGGCAGGCATGTCAACCACTCAACGAAGTGAAAGCATGAACGCCTTCTTTGATGGGTATGTTCATTCTAAAACTAGTCTAAAACAGTTTGTCGATCAATATGGACGTGCTTTAAGAAATAAGGTTGAAAAAGAATTTCAAGGCGATGGTAATTCTTTGAGTAAAATGATTCCATGTGTTACATCGTGTTTACACCTTAGCAAAGTTCAAGGAGTTCCAAACCCAATTACTTGATCAATTGTATTGTTATGTCCTACCTAGCATTAATGATAGCACATTTGAAGTGAGAGAGAATCGTGTCATCAATGGGTTTTATAAGAGTTTGAACTTCATTGTTGAGTATGATAATTCAACATCCAAAGGAATGTGTAGTTTCCACTTATTTGAGTTTCGAGGCATTCCATGTAGACATTTTCTTATGGTGCTAATTCGGTATGATGTTAAAGTGTTGCCTGATTGTTACATAATGTCAAGATGGCGACGAGACATCAAAAGAGCTTACACACAAGTGAAGATTAACTACGATGGTTGGATCACAACCGTGGAACAACAAAGGTTTGATAAGTTGTGTAAGACTTTTGAGACCCTTGCGAATTCCATTGCTGATGATGAAGAAAAGTGCAACAGTGTAATGATGTGGCTTCAACGGAAATTGGAACAACATGACCACCGTCTTTCTCATTCTTCTATATGTGGTGTCATGACACCATTACCACAATCCGGAACAAATGTTGCTAAGGACCAACCACAAATAATTCATAATCATAAGTCTTCAAAACGGAAGGGTGCTCTCAGGAAAAATCGTTTGAAGGGGCCACTAGAAAAGGGGAAAACTAACGCAAAGGTATGCTACCTTGAACTTTCTGTGAACAACAGACAATGTTTAAACTTGTACAGACAATGAACACATATGGACAGACATAATTTTACCAATTTTATTTCAGGCAAGGGCGCCAAAAAAGCTGCCAACACAGGACATTGTTGTTGCTGAGGTGCCCACACTACATTACCAAGATGGTTTAGATTTGAATCTTTCTCTGTTTTGAATTGTTAATGAAACTTCGTATTGAAATGTCTGTGGCGCAGACAACTCAATGTCTTTGTCTACATTAGTACATTGTATTTATGTAAAACTATATGTAGTCCTATAATATAGTTCTAAAATATAGTGTGGATGACGAAGACAATAAAACTACATCGAAACTTCAATCCGTCTGTATAGAGACATTTAAATGTTTGTATACAGACTTTTATATCATGTTAAATGTTTGTATACAAATATTTAGTCCATTAATCCGTCTGTATTTGAATCATAATCACCCCATTCGCTGCAAAAAATGATTCTCATATATCACTGTTTTCTTGTAAATCATAATACAAGTGGTATTACATATAGCTTTGCCAAGACAAAGAAAAGGCAAGCACAAAAAAGGCAATCACATTGTAGCCATATTGTACAACATGTCACCGCCAATATTGTACAAAATACTACATCTAACCACCAAATAATGTTACATCTAAGTGGGCAAAATATGAGTATCCACCAAAGTTTTTGTAATTACATATAACCAAAATATACATCAAGTGTACATCATTCTTCATCACTTGACATCATTCTTTGTTGTCTCTCATCTTCCAAAGCCGTTTTGCGTAATCACACCTCTTATTGTGCATGTGGGGGTACTCGCACCCCGGTATCAACAGGAGGTCAAACATGAGGTGCTCGGCCATACTTAACATCATCATGCCACATTCGCCACTGCGAATTACACAGACAATAGTTATACGATCTTATAGTGTGACAGACAATAGTTATACGATCTTATATGTGCAAGGGATTAATGGATGTTTTACCCTCCTCATTGTTGGGGGACACCATGAACGCAAACAGCTTGCCAAGGCTTGATATCGTCTTCAACGTAATCGTCCCTTTTCCAAGTTATAACCCGAAGTAGGTGGGGGAGCCTTTCACACAATTCTTTTACTTTTGATACGGTCCTTCCACTTTGCAAAGAGTCACACTCTTAGGAATTTAGCTCGAAGGTCTATTTCCACCAAAACCCAATGCATATCCTCCACATTAAGTGGTGAAAAAACCTAAGACAATTACAACAACATATGTTAAATGTTTGTATGCAGACATTTATTACATCAAAACGTCTGTACGCGAAAACATACTTTATCCAAGGAAGTCCATTTTGTTTTTACGAGATGGCGATCTCCTCCCCTGTGTTCCTCATTGTCAATTTTTTTGTTCAACAGTTGTTGCTAAATACAAATGGGTAAGCGATTACTAAAGTGTGTCAATAAGTACTAATTATGCATAAACGTAGATTACTTTACCATAAAATATGGACTCTTGACGAGCACTTTGTCACGGTGCGTCAAACTAAATTCAATACTAAACACTTATACGTAGTATAGCGTAGTAGAGTTCGTATCCACAGGGAAAGGAATAATTCTCTTTTTATGAAACTTAGTAAATAAAGGGGGGATTTGGATTGAGTGATTTAATTTAATTAAAAACTAAGATGAACGACCTATATGAGATTTAAGTCAAAGATAAAAAGGACTTGGCATTGCTACTTTCCACTTGTTGATATATTTTAGTCGATCATTGTTATATCTATAACTTATTCCCTCTCAAATACTCAATCGGGGAGTATATCCACTTCATCGAGGGTAGTTATTAACAACAACCGTTCATTAATAACCCTTACTATTAATCAAATATAGAACAACGCCTTATACCGATTTAACAGTAGCATTTAATCTTTCTAACTCCATGATGAAATCAATTGAGATTGATAACCTCAACACAACGGTTTCGGTTTAACCAACAAAATTAATCCCTCTTAAGTTTATTAACCACGACCGTGCATTAATAAACTGAAGTTACTTACTTGTGAAACCATCAACGATTAACTATCGGTTCGTTGATCGTTTCTAGTAATAATTAATATATGAAACAAAACTAGTTGATCCTTTAAGTAATGTTCAAAATATTAATATGAAATATGAGTAGGAATTAATTAATATTCAAGGAAGAATATTATTAAAGAAGATGAATCCTACTATAATTAATATCAAGATGTTAACTAATTGTCATCTTAGCAACACTCCCCAACATTAATATAGAGGAAGAAAATACCATTCTAACTAATGTCGAGATGTTAACTAATTGTCATCTTAGCAACACTCCCCAACATTAATATAGAGATGGTATTAATGAAAGAACTATTAATTAATATTCAAGGAAAGAAGTTAAGAAAATAACTCACAACTTTAATAATCAACAAGCTTCAAGAGCAACACCAAGAATGGAAGTTTAGCTCCTAATTTGGAGACTAAACATAGCTAGAAAAATATAAAGAAATGCTATTCTAAACTGAGCTTAAGAGTATGGAAGAAGGGATGATGAAAAGTGAAGAGTGGGATGTTTACCTCAGAATTGACGAATGTTTCGTAGATGTCCCGATCATTCTTCAGCTTCCTCGTGTCTTTCAATGCCTCAGGGAATGGAGGGAGTGGTTCATATGATGACAGTGGAGGGAATTTGGTCTTTGTTGGCTTCTCCTCTTCTTGTTGAAAGCCTTCTTCAACCTCTTGCTTCTCCTCCTCAACTTCCCGTGGTTGCAATTCTTTACCGTTTCTCAACATGATTGCATTGACATGTTGTCTCGGGTTTTGCTCAGTTTGGGAGGGGAGCCTACCCGAATCTTTTGCTTCAAGTCGACTTACGGCATTTGAAATTTGGCTAACTTGAGTTTCCAAATTTTGAATGCTCGACTTGGTTTCATGTTGGAATTGCATCATTGTTTGTTGGAATTGCCCCATGCTTTGCTGCATTGTTCCCATATTAACGGCCAGCGCTCGAATCATGTCTTCGGTGGACATACTCGAGTTCGATGTTTGGCCTTAGGGTTTGTATTGTTGAGGAGGAGGATTTGTTTGAGAATTTCCGTACCTTAAATTCGGATGATCCCTCCATCCCGGGTTGTAATTATTTCCTTGAGGATCGTACCTCCTTTGACCTTGGAACCCCAAAGCATTGACTTGCTCGGAGTTCTCTTCTTGTAGTGTCGGGCAAGAATCTGTGGGATGCCCTTGCGTTGAACAGATGTCGCAGACCTTGACTTCTTGGGTTTTTGGATTTAAAAGGAAATCTTTAACCAAAGAAGTCAAGCCGGCTACTTGACTTTCCAACGAATTGTTGGATTCTGCTGCCATGACTCGTTTCGATGATGACCTTCCGTTGTAATGTCTCGAGTTTTCAGCCAACTCCGAAATGAGGTCTCTTGCTTGAGAAGGGGTTTTGTTAACAATACCCCCTCCGCATGCCGCATTCACCATGCGTCTATCTTGATCAACAAGTCCATCATAGAAGTAGAGGATGAGATCTTGTTCTGAATACCCATGATATGGGCAACTAACACATAATTTTTTAAAACGCTCCCAATATTCATATAAGGTCTCATTATCCGCTTGCTCAATGTTGCTGATTTGCTTCTTGAGACTTGAAGAGATGGATGCGGGATAGTACCTGTCAAGGAAGCTCTTTTTCATTTGAGCCCATGTATTGATGCTCCCCGAGGGAAGATAAAATAACCAATCTTTGGCGGTGTCTTTGAGAGAGAATGGGAAGGCTCTCAGCTTGATTTGCTCCTCAGACACGCCATTGGGGCACATGCTTGTGCACACAATATGGAACTCTGACAAGTGTTTATTTGGATCTTCCCCTCGTAGGCCATGGAAAGAGGGCAGTAGATGAATGAGCCCAGATTTTAGCTCGAATGTGACCCCCGTATCCAGAGTTGGAAAAGTGATACATAAGGGTTGTTGATTTAGATTCGGAGCCGTGAGCTCCCTCAACGTTCTTGTTTCCAGGGCCATGTGGAAGGACTCTTCGGATTCGCTAGATTGAGAACTAGCACATGAGGATTCCCCCGAGTCGGTATTTGAGAATTTATTTTTTAACCGCTCGAGGGCTTTTTCTATTTCGGGGTTTGTTTGGTAGGTGAGTTGGTTTATGGATCGGGTTTTTACCATATACTCAAACAAAGCTCAGCAAAAATAGAAAACTTTATATGATTTTTTTTCTTGAAATAAAATAAAAAGAAAAATTAATTGCCTTTCCCCGGCAACGGCGCCAAATTTGACGAGCACTTTGTCACGGTGCGTCAAAATAAATTCAATACTAAACACTTATACGTAGTATAGCGTAGTAGAGTTCGTATCCACAGGGAAAGAAATAATTCTCTTTTTATGAAACTTAGTAAATAAAGGGGGGATTTGGATTGAGTGATTTAATTTAATTAAAAACTAAGATGAACGACCTATATGAGATTTAAGTCAAAGATAAAAAGGACTTGGCATTGCTACTTTCCACTTGTTGATATATTTTAGTCGATCATTGTTATATCTATAACTTATTCCCTCTCAAATACTCAATCGGGGAGTATATCCACTTCATCGAGGGTAGTTATTAACAACAACCGTTCATTAATAACCCTTACTATTAATCAAATATAGAACAACGCCTTATACCGATTTAACAGTAGCATTTAATCTTTCTAACTCCATGATGAAATCAATTGAGATTGATAACCTCAACACAACGGTTTCGGTTTAACCAAAAAAATTAATCCCTCTTAAGTTTATTAACCACGACCGTGCATTAATAAACTGAAGTTACTTACTTGTGAAACCATCAACGATTAACTATCGGTTCGTTGATCGT